GTTCTAGGCATACCACCGGACATAGACGAGACGGAGCTTCATCTGCCTCGGGAGACACGAACGACAATAGCCCAACTCCGCTCTGGCTACTGCAGCAGGTTAAACTCCTACCTGAGTAGATTGAATGAGGATGTGCCATATGAGTGTCCGGCTTGCGGAGAGACCCCACATGACTCGAAATATCTCTTCGCATGCCCGGAAAACCCGACAACCCTAACGGCTTTGTCCTTGTGGACCGACCCGATAGAAGCTGCACGCTTCCTAGGGCTGCCGTTAGTGGAACTTGAGACAACGACTGAGATATCAACCGATCTGGGCGGGGTTGTTGTAGCCGCTACAACAACAACAACAAAATAAAGTAAAATTAAATATATAGATCAAATAAAATAAAAACATATAAAATAAATAATAAAAACAAAAAAAATTTCGCAATCGCTCCAACCGAGGATCGAACCTGGCAGCTACAGGCTTGTAGCCCGTAACTCTTACCACTCGGCTATCGCGGACGGCGGAACTCGCGCGCTTTGTTTGCTTGCTTGTACAAAAGACAACAGCCTGCCGTTTTTACCAGTGTTGTCAACGAAAACGGCCCGGATCCGAGTTGATTCCCAAAAATTTCGTGCATTTGTTCGGCAGCTTATGCGCATTTTAAAGAGGAAAATGCATGAGTCAAAGCAAATAAAGGCTGTTTATGCAAATAATCGAGCCCGTTTGTCAACCGTATAAGTCTTTGTTCTATTTTCAAATAGTTTGACGCTTATACAGCTGCTATAAGTGGTAATATTAGTTTTCCCAAAAATTGTAGATACGTGGTTAAGGCAGGAACGGGACGATATGTAGTATGTAGAAGGTAAAGTTCAGTATATATGTACATAGAAGAACAAAGGGATAAATGCAGAGATTAAAAGAAAATTAAAGAAACCTAAACAAAGACAAAGAGGAAGATAAATTTAAATAGTTAATTTATTTTTGTTATTTTTTGGCCTTATGACAATTATATTCAACAATTTTTATTGAGCTCGAGGCCGTTTTTTATGAAAATTTATTGTGGAAAAGCAACAATAATTTGAAAAAATGGTAGAAGTGATAGCTATTTCGGAAATCACCACATTTCCTCATCAGACTTCTTTCAGTAGGATTCGAACCGACGATCCCACTGACTCAGCCAGTTGCCTATGCACCGTGCTAAGTACGCCTTGTAAATTATCGTTTGCTTTTTTCCACTATTTTCATTTTTGTTATGCCAACACAATCAAGCGCAGCTATTCCGCTGCAATTCACTTGATCATGTGGTTGTTGGTATTGTTGGTTTTTGCTAATAATTCTATTTTTAGAATGTTTAACTTTTAGGTGTGCTCGTCCTTAAGTTATTTGTTTATGTTATTTTTTGGCCTTATAACAATTATATTCAACAATTTTTATTGAGCTCGAGGCCGTTTTT